TAGGATCAATCGGGGATCACCAGTGGACCTCTGACAGAGGAGGAGGAGCAGGGGACGGCTCACACTCACGGCACCCCCATACCCTCCACCCCCAAACCCTAACACAGGAACGCGGGCAGTAGCGGGGGTGGGGCGCCGGCAGAAGCTCGGGGGACGGACGAGGCGCGCGCACGGGCCTGCCGCAGGCCGGACGAGGCGCGCGCGGGCTGCCCGGGCCGCGCGCGGGCCTGGCGCAGCCCGTACGGGCCGCGCGCGGGCCTGGCGCAGGCCGTACGGGCCGCGCGCGGGCCTGGCGCAGGCCGTACGGGCCGCGCGCGGGCTGTACGGGCCGCGCGCGGGCCTGGCGCAGCCCGTACGAGCAGCGCGCGGGCCTGGCACAGCCCGTACGGGCCGCGCGCGGGTCCCAGGGGCGCTTCGACGGGCGACGGGGGCGTTTCGACGGGCGACGGGGGGCGCTCCGACGGGCGACGGGGGCGCTTCGACGGGCGACGGGGGGGAGCGCTTCGACGGGCGACGGGGGGCGCTTCGACGGTGGGAAACCGCCGCGCGCCTCGGGGCGCACGGCGGGCAGAAAACCGCCGCGCGCCCCGAGCGCGCGGCGGGAAGAAAAAACGAACATCGCGCGCCACGGGACGCGCGACACACAGGAAGGCAGCGGAAGCAGGCGGGCCCACAGGCCAGGAGCGTAACCGCTCTGATAGCATGTCAAAATAGGAGCTAGAATCATGAGCCATAGCTAGGTAAACCCTAGCTAGGCAAGAGAGAAATGAGCAAAGGAGGGGTTGCACTAGCAAGAATGGGGATACAAATAGCAAACCCTAGAAGGGTTGTACTCGCTATAGAGCACCCCACTACAGGCTAGAGCATAATATTCTGACAGGATTGTACCATGCACCCCCACACGCGGAGCATAGACGTGTCCCCCTTGGACCCGGTCCACTTCACATGCGGGGACAGGTTACCGGTGATGGCGGTGGTTGACAGCAGGTTGTGCACCCGCACGGCGTGGTGCATCGCGTAGGTCCAGTAGATTGGCGGCAGCTTTGACTGGTTCATCAGTGCCCGTACCTTCGTCATGAGCGTGCGGTTCGTCCGCTCAGCTACGCCTTGCTGCTGGTATGCGTAGGGGAGAGATATGTGATGCTTGATCCCCTTTTGCGCCAGATAATCATGCATCTGCTTGCTCCTGAACTCTGCTGCGCCGTCAGATTGCCAGATTTTTAGCTTCTCCCCAGACTGCCGCTGCGCGTGCGCCAGCCAGAGGCGGAATACCTCGTAAGCTCTGTCGCGGGACTCCACGTTCGCGACCCATACGTAGCGCGTTCCGGCGTCGATGAAGGTAAGCGTGTACATTTCGTCGTCGACTCCGTAGTGCTCCACGTTCCAGAAGTCGATGTGCACCTTGTGCAGCTTGGGGTAGCGGTTCGTCCCTGGCTCGAGCAGCGAGAATGGCTGGTGGCTCAGTGCAGCTTCGATGCGTCGCGCCTCTCACTTCGGAGCCATCTGGGCGGAGCAATGCTCCTGGGGAGGATTATTGGGAGGAGGTAGTGCGGGTGGAGCACGGCGCGGGGGACGACCGAGGGGAACAACTGCAGGTGTTGCCTCAGCTTCTTCTGCTTCTTCTTTTCCCCCCCTTTGTTCTTCGCGGGGAGCCCCCCAGCCGCTGCCGTCGTCGCCAAGTGCAACGCCCCATCCACCACTTGCGCTTGCCCAGGTTCCGCCGGTGTTGCCCCATCCGCCGGTATCGCTCGTTCCCCAGCCGCCTGTGCTTCCCCACCCCCCTTCATTGGAGGCGCTTTCTTCTTCGGCTCCCCATGCACCGCAGGCGAATGTTCCGCGTGCCTCGGTGAGGCTCTATTGGCAAAGCTCCTCTGCCTCGCGGCACGCCAGTTCAACCTCTTCTTGTACGGTAAGTTTCTTTGTTGGGCGCGCGACGCCGTGCGCATTGAAGGTTTCGCGGCGTTGTCCGCGCAGAATGCCTTCGAGCTGCTAGGAGGGTGGTCCAGCGTGAGGGCTTTGGTCGGTGCCGAACACACGCTGAGTGGTGATTTCGAGCTCCAACTGTGACATTCCCTCTTCTGGCGGCGCGTGGCGCTCGGCTTCGGCAATGGCGGCGAGTCCGCGGCCGGCAATTGCACTAGTTGACGCCGTTGGCGTGTGGCAGTCCCTGCAGATGCCGTCTGGGTCAGGGTAATGGAGCGCCGTTTCGCGTGGGTGGGATGATGCGGCACCCACGGTCTGCCGTCAGGGTGCTTCCAGTCCCTGCAGTGGATGTGCGCGAAGCGTAGTGGCACGAGGTCAATTAGCTCGTGCGAGTCGCCGCTGCAGTCGGGAATGTCGAAGTCCAGGACATACACTCCATTTTCGGAGTGTTCTCGATGAATCTGCCTGCGGGGGAAAGTCATTGATTCGTAGTGCAGCAGAATGTCACGCGTTGCGCGATCTGTGCTGAGATCAATGCCGCAGTCCATAAGCTGTGCGGTGGAAAGCAGGTTGAAGCGCAGGTTCTGGACGATCAGCACATCGTTGAGCGTGATGTGCGTGCGGCTTCCGCGTGCCTTGAGCACGACGATGCCTTGCGCGCTTGCGCGCAGGCGAGTGTTGTTAGCCACGGTGACGTAGGTGACTGTGGGGGTGGCAATGGCATTGGATATGTGACGCTCGGAGCCCACCATATGCTGGCCGCAGCAGCTGTCCAGGTACCAGGTGTTGTAACGCTTGTCGTCGTCACATGCGAGCAGCGCCATTCGTGGCGTGACGTGTCAGAATGTTATTATCTAGCCTGTAGTGGGGTGCTCTATAGCGAGTACAACCCAGTTAGGGTTTGCTATATGTATCCCAACTGCTGCTAGTGAAACCCCTCCCTCTTTCTGCTTCTAAACTTTCTACTGCTAAGTTTCTGACATGCTATCAGAGCAGGTCGACCCCCTTGGGTCGATCCTGTGGGTGGGCCCACCACCTAATGCTTCCGCTGCTTTACTTCCTGTCGTGTGCCTCGGGCGTGCGACGTCTACTTCCTAGGGTTTCTCATCCCGCCGCGCGCTCGGGGCGCGCGGCGGTTTTCTGCCCGCCGTGCGCCCCGTGGCGCGCGGCGGTTTTCTGCCCGCCGTGCGCCCCGAGGCGCGCGGCGGTTCTCTGCCCGCCGTGCGCCCCGAGGCGCGCGGCGGTTTTCTCCCCCCGTCGCCCGCCGAAGCGCCCCCGGGGACCCGCGCGTCGCCCCCGTCGCCCGTGCGCGGCCCGTACTGCACGAGCGCGGCCCGTACAGGCTGCGCCAGGCCCGCGCGCGGCCTGTCCTGCACGCGCGCGGCCCGTACGGGCTGCGCCAGGCCCGCGCGCGGCCCATACAGCTCGCGTGCTGCTCGTACGGGCTGCGCCAGGCCCGCGCGCGGCCCGTACGGCCTGCGCCAGGCCCGCGCGCGGCCCGTACGGGCTGCGCCTGGCCCGCGCGCGCCTCGGGCCGCCTGCGCGCGGTTCGTACGGGCTGCGCCTGGCCCGCGGGCGCCCGGTCTCCTCTGCCCCTGAGCCGCACGCCGTCCCTCGCGCTTCTAACGGCGCCCCACCCCTGCTGTTGCCCGTGCTCCTGTATTAGGGTTTGGGGGTGGAGGGTATGGGGGTGCCGTGCATGTTAGCCGTCCCCTGCTCCTCCTCCTCCTCTGTCTCCCACTGCTGCAGCTGCCGCTGAGGGGGGTGGATGTGTTGGAGCCGTCGGAGTGGAGCTAGGGGGGTGATGTGGGAGTGGAGCTAGAGGTGAAACTCGGGGTGTGTGTAGGGGGGTGTGGGACTGTTTGGGGAGGTTGAGCGGAGGCTGCCGTCTTGTCGTCCGCAGCGCCTGTATTCCGGGGCCCTTGTCGCCGGTAGCTCAGAGAGCCTGCTGCACCTGTCGCCCGTGGGTCCGTTGCTCCTGCCGCTGCTGATCAGCCGCAGAGCCTGTTACTCCTGTATTCCGGGACGCACTGTCTCGGTAGCCACTGAGAGCCTGCTGCACCAGTCGCCCGTGGGTCCGTTGCTTCTGCCGCTCGTCGCAGCCGCAGAACCTGTTATTCCTGTATTCCGGGGCGCAATGTCTCGGTATCCACTGTGTCAGCCGCCATTGTGTCAGCCGCTCCTGTTGCCCGTGTGACTGCAGCTTCAGCCGTCGTCTCCCATCTTCTCTCCTCTCACGGTCCCCCCTCCTCCTCACTTGCCATCTGTGACTGTCGCTAGCTTTGCTTATAATTGTGAACTATTACTATGCCTGCTCATTGTGCTGATTACACCCCACTTTGGCTATGGGGGTGTGTCAGAATGTTATTATCTAGCCTGTAGTGGGGTGCTCTATAGCGAGTACAACCCAGTTAGGGTTTGCTATATGTATCCCAACTGCAGCTAGTGAAACCCCTCCTTTGCTCATTTCTCTCTTGCCTAGCTAGGTAAACCCTAGCTATGGCTCCTACTTGTGCCTACTATCTCAACAGGTTTATCACGTGCCTCCCCTTCCGTTGTCTGTTCCCCCAACCGAACTCGACGTTTAGTAATTCCATTCTCGTTATTCGTTTTACTGCGCACTCTGCAAGTTCATTCATAACACAACCATTCTGCTGACACGGTAACGGTAACACATCCCTTACCTCCCTACCAATCCTCCCCACCGCACCCTTCCACATTAAAGGGCAACACCCGAATTACTCAACGAGGTCAACACAAGAAAACAGGTTTGGGAAAGCAGAGTGTTGAGGTTTGAAAACCTCCCCTAAACATCTCTTCCCCGAAACCAGAAGGAGCGAGACACAAACTGGGCCCAGTTTGTAAAGGCGTTTCGGTAATTCGGGGGCTGGGCTTTAAATCTAAACCAGCATAGCACATCACCACTCCTCGAAATTATTGGCAACGAACTCGGCGGCCAGGCGGCCATTGGTGGAGCGCAGCTCGTTCATAAGGCGGCTCCAATTAGATCCAAGGCTGCCGGCAAAATAATCGCACTGTGCAGCGATGAGCACACTCACTAAGCTCAGCGCCACCGACTAGTCGCGCTCGTACTGCCGCAGCGTCTCTGTCTTCTCCTCCTGCCGTGTGTTTGCCGAGTAAAAGAATGTCCACGACGTGTGTTCCACTTCTTGATCTACGTTGGCCTGATGGAGAAAGAGTAGGACGAGATTGCAGCGCGACCAAATGAGCATAGCAGAGCGGACTGCTGTTTGGGCCTAGCGAAGGGTCTCCATCAGTGGAAAGACGCGAAGGATAGGAGGCTGGAGCACTGGATCGATGGCATGATGGGGAGAATGATGGGTAGAATGATGGGAAGAATGATGGGTAGAATGATGGGGAGAATGATGGGTAGAATGATGGGGAGAATGATGGGGGGGGGGGGGGGGGGATGACGGAGATGGGAGAGTGAGAGTTGCATTGTGGCATGCCCATTGCTGCTCAAGTGAGCTGACCTGTGTCTCGGTGTTGAGCCACACGTGCCAGAGGTCTGGCGCATGAGGGCGGAGGCGATTTATGAGGAACATGTGCCAGTCCAGGGACCTCAGCGCCATCTCAAAATGCTTGTCTGTACCCCTTACATGCAGGCTCACTATTGGCCGCGGCATGTACGGCTCCTGCACTCCCACCAGGCCGCTGGTATCCTTGCCTTCGTCCCTGCCACTCCCTGTGGCAGCAGCACCAGCAGCAGCTGCCAATTGCTCCAATGCTGCTCGCGTTTTTGCTCGCCACTCGCTTTCATTCACTTTGACGTTGCTTGCAGCAGAAGCAGAGTGTCAAACTTCAGAAATTGCTCGCGCGAGAGCCAGTCAAGTGGCGCCACCCGCATATCAGGTACGTGCGGGGGACTTTCAAGCAGCGGGACTGGAAGATTCCAGTCCTGGTCGTCGTCGTCGTCGGTAAAGTCGTGGCGCGGGCTGAACGGATTGTTGTTGGAGAACGCGCCAATGGGGTGCGGTGCTGGCTCAGGTGAAGGTGAGCGCACGCGGCGGCGACGAGACCCGCCCGTCACGGCCATGTTGCTCAGGACGTTCCGTACTGGGGCAGACGATGATGGCTGCTGCTGCTAATGTTGAACAGCTGGGTTCAGGTTGCGCGCGAGTGGGGGTTGATACCCCTGGGCTGGACGCACGTCGCCTCGTGCGTCTTGTCGGCCGGACCAGTTGCTCGGATTGGTCTGGCGAGGGCGAGATCGGGACTTGCATCGATCCGCCAAATGCCCGAAACTTCTGCATATTTTGCAGTAGAGGCGTCGCTGTTGTCGGCGTAGAAGGCGAGTTGTTCTCGTTCTCGTCGTGGCGCTCCTCGTTCTTGTCATATCCCGTTGTTCGACGAGAAGGGCGGCGCAAAGGGCGGCCTCCGAGATGACCCCCTGCTGTCGGAGAAGCGCCTTGCAGGGCCGCCACTCTGGGCCGAGCCCTTGAAGCACGATGTTGACAAACATTTCCTCCGAGATCAAGCTTCCTAGCTTCGCCAAGGCTCCGACACCGATTGATGGAGCTGTTGGCCTTCTCATCTGGGTTCATTTTGGTTTCCAGCAGCTGCTGGATCAGCCGGCTCGAAGAAACAGAGTCCTTCGGCTGATACACGCCGTTCAGGTGGCGCCAAGCGTCGAGGGCTGGAGCAGCCGATTTTTTGTATGAACGAATGTTCAACTAATCCTCCGGCGACATGTTGCGCAGGAGGATGCCATATGCCATCAAGGACTCATTGTAGTACCTTGTCCTGGCGTCGTCGGTGTCCTCAGCGGGCTTCGCGTAACTCCCGTCGAAGTAATGAAAAATCTGAGCGTTCCGCTGCAGGAGCTCCAGTTTGAAGCTCCAGGTGTAGAAGTCTCTGCCGTCAAAGCACACACTTGTCTTTATTTTTGATATGCTGAGAAACCTTGATTGCGCAGAGAGAATTGCCTTTTCACCGGGACAGGGATTCTTGGGGGTTGAACCATTTGTGTCGAGGGAGAAAGTGTGCGGGGCGGCGTTCTGGCCATTTGGGCCCGGTAGAGAAGGTTGCGAGGAGGTTCTCGCGTCGCCGTTCCGCAATGTTTGGACACCTTGCTCCAAGCTGGTGAGTCGCTGAAGTAGTTGTGCGAGGACTTCGGTCCCGATCGTCGTCGTTTCCTCGCTTGTCGCAGCCGGGTTGGTTTGCGCTTCAGCCATCAGATTTGTCTGACCACCAGATCCTCCGGCCATTCTCACACGCGAGCGTGTGCCGGACGCCACTTTCCGAATGTCGTAGATTTCGGGAGTGGCAGTGCGAAGGATTTCCAAGCCGCTCACATACCATGCTGCGATAAAAAGATGCCAGGATCAACTCGGGAAGGTTCGCATGCAGGTAGATAGTGTTGGTGGGCCCTTGACCTCAATAGCAGAGTGAATGTAAAATGCTTGAGATGAATTAAAACATGCAAATACAACGATATAAATAAGAGTACAGGGGAATTCGAGTCGACCTAGCTAGCCATGTACTCTAAGGGGTACATTTCCTTATTCAAATTCATTCCCAACCGTGCGGCGCGTACAGTTACAAAACTGTTCCCGCCAAAATCCTCCTGCCTGCAGCTGCCCGATGCCGTCTGCTCCGACGGTCCAGATGCACCCTAACCGTCTGACGCTTCGAGTCAGTTATGACTCTTCGCACTCATTCTTGATACTGCATGCTTCCTTAGCTGCGGTCGGGGTGCACAGTAATGTTCTTATTCATTACTATTCGTAACAATGGGTTCTTCGCGCGGCACTCTTAGATTTGAACCTGACAATATATAGTTGCATTCGCGTGCTACAGTACGTCAGCCATACGAAGCTATGGACCTCATGGGAAGGCACCGGAAGTGCGACGGGAAGGGACGGGATGGCGATGGCAAGGGGAGGGCGACTTGAGGGCGACGGGAAGGCGCCGGAAGCGCAATGGGAGGGCGACGAGAGGGCGTTACGAGGGTGACGAGAGGGCGACTGTAGGGCGATGGGAGGGCGACAGTAGGGCGACGGGAGGGCGATGGGAGGTCGACGGGCGGCAGGCGAGGGTGACGGAGGGGTGAGAGGAAGCGCGAAGGGAAGGTATTACTAACCCAATTTTTTTCAGCAATAGTACCGTATGGCCCCGGATAGTAGCGCAGGTGCGCTTATAATAAAATCGTTTTTTTTGGGGGGGGGGGGGGGGGGGGGGGGGGGGGGGGGGGGGGGGGGGGGGGGCTTCTAAATGAGTTTCGGGCATAAGCACCGACGCTTATAGACTGACAAATACATTCATTTAGAGCACCAAATCGTTCATTTTCCTCTTGCCATTTCAACCGAGTCGAAATGTTTTAGCATCACAAACCCGAATCTCGTGCACGCGATATTTTGGGTTCACACACAGGCAAAGACACATCATTGCCGGCACATCCTGACTGGACGCGCAGCCAGTCAGGTTACAATTACATGTGCGCTTATAATAAGTAAAGGTTTTGTCATAAACTAGAGATAGAAGTGAAATGATTAGATCAGGGTTTGGTACAAATATGAAACCCTAATGGGGTTGTACCCCATATTGGCTACCCCACTATAGCATAAACATATATAGCATACATATAATTTGACACACCCCCATAGGCAAAGTGGGGGAGAGCAAGGGGTCACAAGACCAGTCAAGAGAAGCAAAGCAAGCTCAGGGTGGATCACAACGTCACCACACACACTGAGCACAAACAAAGGGGCCACTGGGCCAGTTTACATGCAGAGGTATATATGCAACAGCAGCATCACAGCGATCGCTACCTAACAAGAGCAAGCATGCAGGTATATATATATAGATTACGGTACAAGCAAGAACTACAACAAGTGCGGAAACGTAGGCACGAGGCCTAACAAAGTACAAAAGCGCTGATGATCACCAGACGGAAGTGCCTTGGTCAATATATCAGCAGTGTTGGCCCGAGTGGCTACGTGAGCAAGACGAAGCTGACCACGCTGCTGCAACTCTCGAGCCAGGAAGTAACGCAGAGCGATGTGCTTCGTTCTGTGCTCCAGTCTGTGCTCCTCACACAAGGCAATGGCGGCCTTGTTGTCGACGTACAGAACTGGAGGAGAACGAGGCCTCTCTCCCAAGTCGGTCAGCAGGTAGGTGAGCCAGCGTAACTCCTGTGCAGCCATGGCTGTAGCGTAGATCTCAGCCTCACAACCGGAGCTGAGAACAGACGAAGAGCGAGTAGACCGCCAAGAAACAGAGCCAGAGCCAAGGCTAAAGTTGTAACCCTGTGACGACCGCTGCGTAGCCTGGTCGTCAACCCAAGAAGCGTCTGAGTGCCCAGTGAGTACAACCTCACTCCGCCCTCCAACCACGAACCCCATGCCCGATGTACTGCACAAGTAGCGCATTACCCTCTTTGCAGCATCCATGTGCACCTTTCGGTGCCGACTAGGAGCCACGTAGCGAGCCAGAAGGCCAAGAGGGTACGCAAGGTCAGGACAAGTGCAGGTCATCAGGTACATGAGGCAGCCCACTAGCTCTGCGTAAGGACCACTCGGCTCTACGGACTCGTCCGAAGGTGGAGCTGAGAGCAAGTGACCTGTAGCCAGAGGAGTGGATTGTGGTGAGGACCAGGTGAAGCCGAAGCGCTGAAGGACCTGCTGCACCATGTGTGACTGAGTCAGTGTGATGGTGCGGCATGCTCGGTCCTGGGTGATTTGCAAGCCAAGGTAACTGTGCAGCTCACCCAGGTCAGTGCACGTGTGTCTCTTCTGCAGCTCCGACTTCACAAGGGCGAGAGCCTCAGTGTCAGCAGTGGTAAAGACCAAGTCGTCGACGTACGCGAGGATGTAGAACGGCGGCAACGAAGTGTCGGTGCGCAGAAACAGCGACGGGTCAGCTGTCGAAGGAGCAAACCCAAGCACCGCAAGTGTAGTCCTCAGTGTGTCGTGCCACTCACGAGGCGCCTAAAAGAGACCGTAGACTGGCCGTCTAAGGCTCCACTGGGTACCAGGAGGGAACGAACCAGTGAAGCCAAGTGGGCGGCGCAGCCAGATCTCCTCGTGCAGGCTGCCCTGTAAGAAAGCTGTGCTGAAGTCCAGAGAGTGAAGCTCGTAGTCACGTTGAGCGGCAACGTGCAGCAGCACCCAAAGAGTAGTCATCTTCGGGGTGGGGGAGAAGGTCTAGAAGAAGTCAACTCCCTGTCGCTGACTGAAGCCTCTAGCAACGTAACGAGCCTTGAAGACAGGCAGAGAACCCGGCGGCCGCTTCACCCTGAAAATCCACATGCCATCGACGATGTTTGCCCCAGGAGGGGGAACCTCGTCGATGTAGGTGCCTGTGGACTTCCAGGATGCCATCTCTGCGTCCATAGCTGTCTGCCACTGAGAGGAGTAGGGATCCGCGATTGTCTCAGCGTAAGAGCGCTGGGTAGGGATGTCTGGTGCATCCGGGTCTCCCTCAGGGGCAAGCAGCATGGCCACGAGATGAGGCGCAGCGGCCGCAAGACACTCAAGGTCCTCCTGTCTGTCCTCAAGGACGTCCGTGCCAAGAGCACAATCACCCCCGACGGACGGAGGAGAGACAGACTCAGACTCAGCAACAAGACTGGCAGCGTAGTCGAGACAAGCAGCAGCAAAGTCAACAAGCTCAGCAACCAAGGCAG